GTCAGTGTGATCAAGGGACACAACTTTCCTTTTGGATGTCTCCAACTAGCCTTTTTTTTTGCCCTTTTGAAAAATCACAGGTATGGAGATCTGCACTTAAAAGTGCTGTCCTTCCAGATATTCATTCCCTCACCCATTTCCATTTCTCAGTTCTGGTTTTTTTCTCTCCTCTGAAGGATTCACACTTTATGTATAGATACCCCTAAGAATCTTATTAGGTTTGGATGTATTCATATACCAACAAATTGGTGAAATGCCATTTTGCATGTTTCTAAGTTCAAATGAAAAAGAAATTCACATTTAAAACAGGATCTGATCTTTGGGTCCCCATGGTTAATTACATTTTTACAGCATCAAACCCACTTGTGTGGTTTAATGAACAGGAAATTGAATTAAGAATCAAGAAAACATAGGTACTTTTCTTTTGAACTGAGACTCATTAAATACATCTAAAGCAATCCAGAAATGAATTGGACTGCAACGTACAGTTGAGAATTTCTCAAACCAAGAGGTGTTTAGCAGCAGCTGTGTGGAGGGGATTTGTGCATCAAGTAGGGGTCTGACCTTTAAGGTTGCTTTCAATTCCTGGCATCTATGACTCATTTTCAGGCCGATCCAAACAATTAACCTCACCATGCCTCACTTTCCTCCCTTTAAAACAACACTAACACACATCCATCTCTGTGGTATATTCCAGGTTTATTGAGCTATTTATAGGGCATGTAGCATAATTCATAGAAAGAAGCAATGTAAATAGCAAGGTTTATTATTATTTCAGGAGAAGGCACAGGAAATTTTAAATGCCACTGGAAATAACAGGATTTTTTTTTCCTCTTCCATATGCTCCACTTGTTGCCCAAATCAGTCAACATGCATGCAAATTACCATTTTCTGTCTTATGTGAGCACACAAAGACAGGCGGCCAAAGCAAGTGTTTAAGAATTGGACGTTTGGACATTTTTAAAAGTTATCTCTATATGCAGAGCCCAGCTCAAACTCAAGTGAAATAAGAAATGTTTTTTCCAAAGCACTTTCAAACCAAAGGTACATTTCCAGTCACCCTCCTGAGGGGAGGGGTGGTAGAAGGAGGAGCTAATGTTATTCTTTTTATATTTGCACATTTTGTCTTTTTATTTAGAAAGATTAGGACTTAGAGAAAAGTGTGTGATAATGTAAACTTCTGTGCACCTTCTTCTAGATTCAGGAGTTGCTATTATTTGATCACATTTGCTTTAATGCTCTAGCATTTTGTCATATCCAAACAACTAAACAGCAATGACAATAATAGTAAGTAGTAGTACCCTTGAATCATTTGAAAGTAAATTGTGGGTATTGAGACCTTTTTACCCATACAAACCATAGAGTATATTTCCTAAGAACAAGGATCTTCTTTGTTATAACTACCCTATAATTTTTAAGTACAGGAAACTTAATAATGACACAATACTATCATCTAAATATATATCAAATTATATATGTCATGAATTCATTTTCTTTAATTGTCCCAGGATCAGTCATGCATTGATTTGTCAGTTTTCTTCAGTCTCCTTTGGTCCAGAACAGTTCAGCCTTCCTTTCATGACACTGACATTTTTGAAGAGTCAAGATGTGATCAGTTTTATTGTATAATGTCACTCACTTGGGTTTGTCTGATTTTCCCCTTATCTGCATTTCATTTTAAAGTCCCTTCACCTCAGTGGGCTAGAAAAACACCCCAGTACCAGTTTTGCATGCACCCTTACTATTCTCTGCAACTGGAGACTCGGCAGGACTGGGTGACTTCATCAGGGTGGCATTCAGACCCAGGAGGATGATAGCAAAGCCAGGTGTTGTCCCTACATTGATTTCCTCTCCCTGAGGTAATTATTTGTTTAGCAAATAATTTTTAACTATTCATTAAATGTACAGGATTGAAGGATTGCTGCAAAAAATGCAAATATAAGAGAAAGCTTTCTCTAAATTTTGTCTTCTGTGAATGCAAAAGGCCTTTGAATTGTAAATTCTACATCATTTGTTAATAAAGGCAGAAAGGGTTTTCTTAAGCAAACAATTGCTTCAGGAAGAGAAATGTAAAATCAGTGTTCCTGGCTCATTGTTCTGCTCACAACTTGGGTCTGTAATCTTTAAATGTGTGGATCCTCTCCATTCCTATGGTCCATTTACGTGCATACTGACAAAATGAGAAAAGTTGGGGAACAGAGGTGTTTTCCTGTAGAACATATCACTTCCATTTAGAAACTGATCATCTTTGTTGAGGTGTTATCTTCCCCCGCCCCCATCTTGGTATCAAAATATGCTTTATTTTATGAAACAGCTGTGAAAATGGATGATTCCATTTGTTGGGGTGAGACATTATGTTTCTGAATAGCCTCATGTGCCAAACTGAAGTTTAGTTTTTATGCTGTTTCTAAGTTTTCTTTCTGTTTTTTTTTTTCAGGTATTTATTTACATAGTCAATCAAATTGATATGAAATTCAAAAGTCAGGCAGACCTACTGATTTATTATAAAGAGCCCTAGTTTGCTCTCAGAAGGTAGATATGGCTTCAAAACTTAATCTGCCATTATTACCTATGTGACCTTGAGCAAGTTATTCCAGCCTATAGCCTTCTACGCTTATGACCTACAAATTTAGGTGGTACTTGATGCCTTATCCACATTGTGAGAGTTCATGGTATAAAAAAGTTCAATGGACTCTAGGACCTTGAAGCAGGATGTTGTTTGCCTTGCAGGATTTAACATAGGAATCGAGATCCACTGAGCATCCAGAAAACATTTTCCCCTGAAAAATGAATGAATAAAGTGAAACGTGTGTGTCAACTTAAATGCCAGGAGAGAGTATGTAAATCACAAGGATGGGAAGACACACTTCAGGATTGACATTCCATTCAACAAAGAACAAAAGAGCCGTTCCTTGCAGCATATGAAATGCACTTTTAAAATGTTTTCCCCATTTTATTTAAAGGCCACATTGAGCTTTCCTTTATGGTCATGCTCAAGTTAAAAAAAAAAGAAAAGAAAAAAACAAAAACATGATTGCAAAGCAGGAAGCCTGGGGAAAAGAAGAAAGGAAAATGGGTCCCTGATTCTGTTTATTTCCCACCTCATCAAATAATCCTAAACTGTTTCTGTTCCCTCAGCACCAATAGCTTGTATATATGAGGCAGGACAGTGAAGTGGAAAGATTAAGCATTAAACTCACAAATAACAATTTTAATCTATTTGTTCCTCCTAACTATCTTTGCAACCCTGACTAGTTACTCTGGGCCTTAGTTTCTGCATTTGAATAATAAAGATAATAAGGGTAGCTTCATAGGATTACTAGAAGGATTAAAGAATGTAACAAATAAAAAAATATATATAGGTCCATGTGCTCAATTTTTCCCCTTTATAAGTACTCTTCAGTGGTTCATGACAAAAGAATCCAGAAATAAGAAGACAAGTGGCTCATTTTGGGTACTTGAGAATCTTCAACCACATGATTGATTTGAAAAGGAGCAAAGCCCAATAAGGCTGTTATTCTTTAAATTTTAATTTTTGTGAAGAAAAACATAGTACACTAAATCTTGATATGGCTCTACAACAACCTTCCCCACCTCCATTGCTCCAACTGACTCTGAAAAGCAGATCATTGTCATTTACTGTTTTTCAGAACTAGACCTAACTCCAGTACTAGAGAAACCTTTCCCATTCAAGCTTCAATAAATGTGACTGCTGAGGAAAAAAATAATAAGATAAATAAAATAATAAGAAGAAATACGTGCATCCAGTCTGGAAGTAGCTGGAATCCATGTGCTATCTTGCACAGTGCATTTGACAATTTCCATCTGAATACTTGTAAAGCTTAATATTCCCTATTGATTACTTGATGCTGACAAATACTGAAGGCACTGAACTACTTATTTAAAAGAAAGTCAATTTTCCTATGTGATGGGAGTCCTTGAGTGAGAGACAACATCATGCAGTGTAGCAAATGCCAGCTAACATTACGGGAAACAAGATGCAGGTTTCATAAGCCCGCCTGTCTTGACCTCATGGTGGACATCTCTTAGAGAATGGTGCAGCTCAGTAGATCCATACCTGGATGAAGAGAACATTCTCTGTCAAATTAGTCAGCTGTATACAACTTCCAATGGTCAATTTAATTTTTTTTCTGCTTTTATTCTTAAAATATCTAAGAATATTCTGTAGTATTTTGAATCAAGTAAAGATTATCCAATTCAACATTCAAATGTTTTAGCAAGAAATAGAGTCATTTAGTTCATGTAGTCATCACTGACAGATTGTTTGCAACAGCTGAAGTAGCTGGTAAACAACACATTGTATGTAAATACTTGATGACAAACTTAAAAAAGTTAGCAACCCCAAAGAAACCCTTGAATTACTTTGGATTATTTGGGGGGAGGCGGGTGCCGATACCGGGGAATGAACTCAGGGGCACTCAACCACTAAGCCTCACCCCCAGTGCTATTTTGTATTTTATTTAGAGACAGGGGTCTCACTGAGTTGCTTAGCGCCTCACTGTTGCTAACTAAGGCTGGCTTTGAACTTGTGATCCTCCTGCCTCAGCCTCCTGGGCTGCTGGGAATACAGGCATGTGCCACTGTGCCTGGTGAATTATTTGGGCTTTTTAAGAAAGCAGGTGTTATCTATTTCACTGAGCACCTTTGGAAACTTCAAGCAACTTTTTTGTTTGCAAAAGTTTCACAGACTTGATTTGTTAAAGACCTGAAGTATTGGCTTAAAAGTGGAAAGGACAATTGCATTCTAAATAAATTCAAAGTGCACTTGGGAAAATTATGCTTCCAAGCTGCACATACCCACAAAGAGAAAATATCAGTATAATCTACCACTGAAAGAGGAATGACAAATGGAAAGTCAATAGTGTAACCTTTAGGTAGGTGGCCGCTTGATGCATTTTGGGAATGATATGCATTTGACTGTAAATGGCAATAAACAATACGGAGCAGTCTCTGTTGCATGATTGGATGTCATTTTCCAGGTCTAATTCGTCTGCAAGAGCTCATCAAAGCTCCCTCCAGATACAACATTAAAATCAAAATCCGCCAGCTGCCCTCTGGGAATAAGGATGCCAAGCCTTTACTCAAGGAGATGAAGAAGGGCAAGGAGTTCTATGTGATATTTGATTGTTCACATGAAACAGCTGCTGAAATTCTTAAGCAGGTAAGAACACTAGGGAGGAGGTGGGAAGTGTGGGGGAAATGTTATTTTCTCTTTCTCAAGAGTGCCATCTGGTTTTTGGTTAGTGTGGCGTGATAACACTGTGACTGTCCAGTAGAGGTTAAAGATTGCAATTTTAAGAAAAGAGCCAAGGGGCTCAGAAAGTTCAACAAAGCCACCTGTAGGTTTTCATTGTAGATGTGTGTTCCCCTGTGTATATTAGGTGATATGTGAATCCTGCCAGCCAAGGAGGGGAAGAGAAGAGTGGCATTTCAAGAAACATCTCTTTTCTTTATGTGTCTTGAAAAGACTGGGCCAGCTACCATTTACATGATGCCTGACTCATCCTATATGTATTCCTTATGGCAAGATCTCTGTGTTCAATGTGCTAGATTCCAAACACAATAAGAAGGGGGCAGGGACAATCACAGAAAAGATACTTCTCTTTTCTAATTTGTTATAGACAATAATTGCTATCCCTTAATCTCCACAGATAATGTGGGTGGAAATGTTTAGTACATTGTGCTATCCTGTATAGATGAAAGATATTAGTGATGTTCAGTAGAATAATAGTGACAATAAGAGTAACAATTTCTAAGCACTTGGTCATAAAGTCAAGAATAAAAATTCAGAATTAGAAAAAGATAAAGCATAGACTACTACCAAGTCTCACTCCAAAGTGATTTTGTTCCTCAAGGGCAAGCAGCAATGTCTGGAGACATTTGTGATTATCATATTTGGGACTGGGGCACTTTACTGACAACTAGTTGGTAGTGGCTGGGGATACTGCTAAACAACTTGTACATCTGAAAAGGTTAGTCAAATTTTAAAATAGAAGCAGCAATTAAAAATCAGGGATAAAACTTGGAGAAAGTCAGAAAAAAATAACTAGATACTATTCATGTGGTCTCCTAGGTATCTATTTATATTTAAATGGTTATTGTCACATAATCCAATGCAGTCATCTAAAACAATACAAGTTATTATGTTTCTCAGTTTGAAAGGTCTGAGGTTGCTATAAGGTCAATTGGTAAAGAACAGTGATTTCATAGGTAGACCGGCTCCTTCACGCAAATGCAGAACTGTGGATTCGTGAATCACTAGGAAGAGCCCTCTTTGGATGGTCATCTGTTCTGACTCTGTAGTGCTCTATCTCATACTTGCAGAGCACGTTTCTGTAACCATTGAGTTCAGAATCAAGGTTTTTATTCCACTGAAAATACACAATCAAGAAAGTCAACCAGATGTTTCTAGTATCCACTGGAGGATTACACAAAAAATTCCACTAAGAATCTGCTATAGTTCTGATAAGGTTTGCAGTGTCTCTCAAAGTTTCAAGCATGTAAGTTTAGTGCTCAGTACAGTGGTGTTGAGGTGGTGGAAACTTTAAGATGTAGGTTCTAGTGGAAGGTGGGTAGGCCATTGGGCTTCCCCCATCAGAGGGATTAATGTACTTCTCATGGCACCCTGGCTAGTTCTCATGACAGCACCCTGGCTCCTGAGTCTCCCTGGTTTCCTGTTTCACCCAGTGATCTGCCCATGCACACCCAGCATTGTGATGCCACCTGCCATTAGATCTTCCTCTGGGGCCAAAACAAATGAGGCTAACTAATGTCACACTTTCAGCCTCCAAAACTATGTGCTGAATAAATCTCTTCTCTTTTAAGATAGCCTCAGGTATTTTAATAGCAACAGAAAGGAGACTAATCCAGAGTCATAGAACACACTTTAAATTACACTTGAATACCATCTCAAGACAAACATTGCTGTAGCTAGTCCTCACACTTTGCAAGAAGCAAAAAGACTTCTCCAGAGTCACACATCCAGTAGTTTTCCCCAATAAACTCTTATCCCTCCAATAAGGCAGAAGAATACCTGTTACTTACTTCTAGATTATAATTGCATTAACAAATCTTTAAATATTATAATTGTCTCTCAGAAAAGGAAGCAACCATGTTGCAAAGATGTCAATAACTAAAAAAACTTTGAAGGTAAATAAATACAATTAACAATCCTTTATCTTATGGCTTCATTTGGAAATTTTAATATAGATCATTAAAGTGTGTAATGGTGTGTGGATCAGAATGAGAAAAACACCCAGATTTTACATGTAGCCCTCAAAATGCAAACAAACATTCCTTCCCAGGAGCCCTTTTTAACAGAAACTGGGGACTTCTGTTGCATTGAAGAGAAAGGTTTACTAATGACATTTCTTTCTGTTAGGCACCCATTTGGCTCACATAAGAGGCCACATCTCTCCCAAAAGGAGGTCTGGAATAGGACAGTGAAGTGTAGGGTGGGCTTGGAGAAGGGCAGCTAGCCTTTTCCCTGTGTTTTTCATAAGCAGGAACATGAAATCCCTCTGATAGAAGTAGCTCTATGAATTGTATTGTTCAAAGGACAATTAAAATAAAAACAAAAGCAAAACCTCAAACAGAAGTACCCTCAAGAACTGTCTTGTGGAGGTATTGGGATCAGTTCAGCTTTGCAGGAGCCATTGACAGGAACATTTTTCTGTCCATCCAATGTCTTGTGTTTTATCCTGTTTTTACTTTCCCTAATTATATTAGCAGCAAGACTGCCCATGAGGTTTCATGGATGGGATAAAAGAGACTGCTCATCCAGTTTTTGTTTTAGATTAGTGACCTGCAAATAATTTTGAGGGAAGAGACTTTGCAAAATGTTCCATTATGTATTGTTCTTCTGGATTGCATGTGAAAATGCAATTGCTACTTTTGAAGTAAATAACTGAGAAGACCTAGGTTGGCTTAACAGAGCTTCATTTGAAACTCCAGAGGCTGTTGTGCTTGCAAAATAATATCGAACACCTCAAGACTTTCTATTCTGGTAAAAATGAGCCCCAAGCACTCTGTGTGATGCAATTTAACTTGCTCCATTAGCCCAGGGCAATAACCTGTAGAAATAAAGTCAGAGACCTTTCTGTAGCTGACATCTAATTGATTCTCTCAGGAGCCTGAAGCCTCAGGAGTTCTGGGTCCTGATTCTGGCACTGCTCTATCAATCTTTCTACCTAAGGAAAGAAAAGAAAGAAAGGAGACTTACCTCTTTTACTGAGTACCTTCCCAGGCTCTGGCAATAACGGTGTCTGGCATGTATACCATGCAATCTTAAACGACCCACTGAGAATGTTCGGTATGCCCACTGCAGCACTAAGGCAACCAGCTCAAATATGTTAAGTGGTTGTTAAGGTTTGGATGTGATTTTTTTTCCCATAAAGCTCACATATCCAGGCTACTCAGCCATAGGCAAAGGTAAAGAGTTCAGATTAATAGAGCTGTAACCTCAACAGTGGATTAAGCCATTTGATGGATTAATAATTTGAATGAACTAGCGAGTGACAACTGTGTGGCAGCAGTGTGTGGTTGAAGAGGTGGGTCACTGGAGGTGTGGCTTTGGGGACTTTATCTTGTCCCTGGTTTCTCTCTTATCCTTTGCTTCCCAGATGCCATGAGTTGGCAGCCTTTGGCCATTCCATTCTGCCTAATTTTAGGCCCATAGAAATGGAGTTGGCCAACCATGGACTGAGACCTCTGAAACCCTGAGCCAAAAAAAAGTTTTCTTTCTTTAAGTTGTTGTTGTCAGGTGTTTTGGTCACTGCAACAACAACAAAAAAAAAACTGATGAATACAGTGGTTCATCCAAGATCACTCTCTGAGGAGCCGGGCTGCCGTACCGTCTCCAGGCAGCCTGATCTCAGAGCCTGTACGTTCTCTTCGACACAAAGGGCTCTTGATCAGAATGGACAACCATTCTGAGATAAGCTGCCAGAAATATCTGGGGCGGGGGGACCACCAACTTTATATGAGGCATCCTTTAGGAGAGGTTGGTATTAATAGCTTCTATTGTCCTTGCGCTCTCAGTGCTGAGAGCATTTTCTTTGCAGGCTCAACTTGGCTTTCTCCTCCTGTGTGTCTCCCATCGCTGCCCTGCACTCCCTGCACCTTCATCACATTTTTCCACTTTTTAATGATCCTTAAGGAAAAAAAAATAATAGATTAAATGCACTTCAGAGAAGATATTTGACATTTATCTAAAAGTAAAAAAAAAAAATAGAGAAAAGTCTATAGTTATTCTTGCGCATGCTGATCACTCTGGCAAAGCAATTATTTCTATTCATATTGAACAAGTACTATATGATGAGAATCTGAAAAGTTATTTCCCCAAAATTCATTCGAAATTCAAATGTCAAGACTTGATTAGGCGACAGAGGAGCAGAGCTTTTGTATGTCATGTAAATTTCTGGAGTCAGAGGGTACACAACCTGGCATCTTACACTATGATGGCATGCCATCGTAGCAGCAGGTCACCTGGTCTCCTCTTTCCTTCTTCTTCCCTCATCACCTCCAAGCAGGGTCCTGAGCTATCCTGAACCAGCGTCCACATGAAAACGCCTCACTTCTAATTTCCCCAGGCCCCACTTTCCTCCTATGGACACTTCACTGCTCATTATATATACACTCTTTTGCAGTGAGTCCAAATCCACTGGCTGATTGGAGATGAGCTTAAAGAATGGAGGAAAAATAGGAAGGTTCTACACAGGAAACTCAGAACTCATGTCTAGCTTGGGGTTGAGTGCCAAGCAACCGTCTCATTGAACCAATGCAATAACCATTGACATAGCTGATGTTGTTTTCTCTTTGGCAACTACGACTTGAAGCTCAGAAATCATAATAATTTTATCTCCTATCTACTGAGCATGCTCATAACACAGAACACCTCAAGACCTGATCCCACCACTCTCTAGCCTTCTGGCCAGCCTCCAGCTTCCTGTGCTCCACCTCAGGGGTGTCCTGCTTCATCTTGTCATATACCCTCCTTTTAACACATCACAGCTTCTGCACTTACGGTTGCCAAAGACTAGGATATTCATTCTACCTCAAAGTTGGCCTTATCTAAATCTTTATGAATATTTCTTAAATGATAAAAGGATTTTTGCATTCCCTATATCCCTACACTTTGCTGAGTCTGCTCTGTACGTACAA